TATAATCAGCATTTCCCTTCTGTTTTTCTTTTCAGGGTATCAAACGAGGTATAATTGAGATGGCAGACCTTGTTGCAGTAACCAAAGCTGATGGAGATCTCATGGTGCCAGCACGGAGAATTCAAGCAGAATATGTCAGTGCTCTGAAATTACTCCGCAAGCGCTCAAAGGTTTGGAGGCCAAAGGTTGGTATGTCCAGAACAAAACCTTTTCCTTTTTCAGTTAGGAAAATATACAAGACTTAAGTGAAAGAGTGTTAATACTATCAGACTCATGGTTACTGCCTGGTTTTCAAAATACCTTTAAAAATTTCTCCATTTTCACACAATATTGGTATAAGTAAGAAACATAATTCCATATTGTGTGCTCTGTGTACGGGGCATGATATTCATCTCCTTCAGTGTTTGAAAGTAGGTATGTTTCAGAAGCTTTATACATGGACTTCAATTCTGCCGCTGGTTGCTGAACTTTTAGATAACTAATAAATTTATGCCCATGGTGGTTTGTGATAAAAATAAAGTGTTATAGTTACTTCTAATATGTACAGTGTCATTATGTTACTATTTCATGTATCAGAAACATCTGAGTGTTCAGTTACAGATTTATATATTATAGGATGTATAACAATGTATAATATTCAATAATGGTATAGTTTAGTTAACAGTATAGTGTAGTTAAGGTCCCATGGAATTTGTTATGGGGGGGGGTGTCTGGAACATCCCTCGTGGATACAAAGGGACGACTGTACAAACACTAAAAATTTTTATTCATTTACCATGGAGGGGGGGGCACAACATTTGCATGTAGATGTAAAGGGGGGGTCCCAAGGTTAAAATGTTTGAGTACCATTGACATAAACCTTTTAAGGTCAAAGCCAACAACATAATTTGAATCTAAATACAAACCACTACCCAATATGTCTCAGAATAGGTGTCAAGTGTTCATTATAGTCTATGAACCTATAAAGAAATAGCCAGTCATCTTTTGGATCAACCATAATTTCCACATCATCATAAATCATCTTAAAGGGCAAACTGAGTAGTTGTGTATTAGAGAAAGATGAATGAACATTCGACTTATTCTTATTACATTGCATTCTAAAGCCCATCCCAAGATAAGATGTCATGGTCTTTTTGCATAGATGTACAAATTTGGTTTATCACTGTGCCTTTTATTGTCTTTTAATATGTTTAAAGGCTAAGCTGTAGTTTAAAGTTGGTTTTGGTTTTATTGGTGGTGGTTTATTCAGAAATCATGTTTAGGTGAGCCCTAGTAGCCTTATGGTTTTGTATTTAAAAAAAAAAATCTTCTCAATCAAATAGGTCATGCGAATCTCTGCCAAAACTGGAGAAGGCATCTCTGACATATGGGATAAGATGACAGAATTCCAAGAACTCATGCTCACAAGCGGTGAGTTGCTCACCAAACGAAGGAGGCAGCAAAAAGTGTGGATGTGGAACGTAATCCAAGAAAGCATGCTATACCATTTCCGGAGTCACTCAGCAGTGAGAGATCAGATTCCCCTCCTGGAAGAAAAGGTTGTCAGTGGGATTCTTTCTCCTGGACTGGCTGCAGACCTACTGCTCAAAGCCTTTAAAGAAAAATCCTAACACTTAGCTGTATATGTGATATGATTATGTAGAGTATATGAACATTAAAAATAATTTCCCAATGCATGACTTGTTTTGTTTTCAGTGGCTGTGTATACTTTAATAGAACAAAAGTGCTCTTTACATTTAAAATCAGTATATTTACATTCTGGTTATATATATGTCATTTGTATAGCACACTAGTGTTTTATACAGCAGTATAATAGCAGACCTATAATGTCAACACTACGCTTCTAAGATTATTCTAGTTAAAAGACTGTGTTTAAATCTATCTACACAACAGCAACTCAAGTTTCTAACTATTAGCAATTTAATCCCAAAATGTGTTACAACAGGATGATGATACACACTTATTGTTACACCATGTGTTGCAAACCATGAAGCCATGTACATGAATCAATTTCCTTCTGAGACACACTGTGTGTGCTACATCTTGTGTCTGTGTGTGAGATATAGATCCTGGTTCATGCTAAGGCTGCAGTTCTGTGTATCCATCCTTAGGAATAAGTTGCATTGACGTCAAAAGTAAATAGGTATAAGATCAGATTATGTGTAGTTTATATATATATGCTGATCCTAATACTTGTAATACTGTAATAGTGTCTTCATGGAAACTTCATTGAATACTGATTCGCTTTATTCTTTTTTTTTTTTTTTTTAAGTAAGTGTAGCTAACATGAGGAAAGTTACACAATTCAAGCTAGTACCGGACTTTCACAGGATTATAAGAAACAGTTCTGCGTCTTACCATGTCCACAGTATTTTACTGTTGCACTAAATTTCATTAGCTTATTCACCTCTTGAAGAGGGCTATCCACATTTTTCATTTAAATGCAGCAGCTTGAATGCTCTGCTATTTCTGGATGTTATATTGCCAGCGTGTTCTTATTAGGAAGTTTTCCTTCCAGTATATCTAATCTACACTGGTCCTTTGTAAATCCATTACTTCCTGTAATAGAAACTTGGGTAGCCTTAATATGTGCAGCCCTTCAGCGCATTACTTCCTTGTTCCTGTAGAGCTGCTACATACTGTTTTCCTTTCTAATTGCTCTTCCCAGTATTTTACATGAAAGTGGTATAACAGGACACTTTTGAAAATGTGGCTAGATAATACATTCTGCTGAACAGCATCCTGAAATGCTGCAGCTGGGGGATAGAAGTAGCAGTCATACCAAAGTTTTCATGACTCCTCTGTCTGTCAGCCCTAACATATAATCCAATTAATACAATTTCTTAAATAGCATTTTCCCATGAATGGAACTCAAGGCAGTTTGAATTAAATTGTGTTGGACAAATACAATTAAAACATTAAATGGGTAAAAGATATTCTATGCTTTTAAAGCACAACTTTTAAAAGCAGTGGTAAAAGAAAGGTACAGCATCTATTCAATTAAAAGACTTGTTCCACAGCAAGCAAGGTCACTTGCCAAAGCCTGGTGTGAACTGAAGTTCTTTGCCTACATGCAGAAGGACAACAAAAGAGAAGACTGGCATATCTTTCCTTGGTAGCGAGGTCTAGAGTTTGGGCAGAGCACTGAAAAAGTCCTTTCTGGTATAGACACTATATACGGCTTGAAAGGTGACAGAAGAAAGGCCTCCTCTGAAGATTTCAAAGCATGGAAAGGCTTGTATAGAATAATACAGTTCAGAAAGCTTATGTCCAAAACATTTTAATGCTATCTAGCCTTATGGATTTTGAAGAAATGTGTGATTTATCCACGTCATCTTTATAAATGATTTGGATAAAGGTACATAAAGTCACATTTCAAACTATAAAGGGTGGTTAACGTTAAATTTATGGACTTGATTTTGGGTGATTACAGCAAATAGGTTTGGCCTTCCTTATGAAAACATCTGTGAAGTCTGCAGTTACCATGACTAATTTTATTTATAGAGAGAGATTAGTGATTCTGTTTTAGAATTTGAGTAGAATTAGAACAGTCTTAGAATATTATCTAAAGATGGTAAGATGTTTTCTTGACATGAAGCTACATTATCATACCTTGTTGATAGTATCAATGAGCAATTAGTTTTTGCAACAGAAAAATGTATATACTGAGCAGGTGATGGTAAATCATAGTTTGACAAACTGGTTATAATATAAGGGAAGAGTTTGGTAATGACCTAAATGAAGTGTCAAGTCTGTAGAAACTGCACCAGAATTTTGGTATAGACCAAGGTTAAAATCTAGGTTGTTTGCTTTTATTTATTTATTTTTATAACATAACATGTTTATAACAAGCAAGCGGTCACTTTAAGAGGGATTGCTTGGTAGCACTTCTCTTTGGAAAAATTCAATGATAAATCAGATGTATACTTGTGGATGTAGTGTGTCTTGATTTCAGCTGCTAAGAAAGTCGCCCATGATATTTGGCAGGCAGAGCAAGCAGACTGAACTTCAGGAGGGATAAAATACATTTAAGCAGGAAAAATTAGATGCTCAACAGGGTCGCTGAAACCTGGCTTGACAATGTATATGAAAAGGCTCTAGAATCAACAGTATGATGGTTCAACACCACTAATGCAATTCTAGGGAAGTAATGTCATTGCTCTGGTTTTATTTCACCTGGAATACTGTGTCCAGTTTGTCAACCACAATTTAAGAAGGATGCCAATATATGTAGAGTAGGACAATAAAAGATGGTAAAGGGTCTGGAAACCAAGCCCTGTGTGGACCAGTGGAGGGGTTTGGTTATATTTGTCCTAGAAAAGAGAAATCTGAGAAGTGGTATTATAGCCATTTTCAGATACTTGGAGGGTGGTCATGTGAAGCATGGGATAGTTTATACATTTCCATTTATATACCGTACCTTCATAATGTATTTAATTTTAATTGATGTGACAGGTTGGGAGGTGTTTCTATAAAAATGTTATCACACTCTTCCCAGAGCTTCCCAGAGGTGTTGAATTGCAATTCCCTTCATTTGAAGCTGTGTTTACTGTGAATGATGGAGATTCAAGTCCAACATTTGGAGGTTGAGGAATGCCGAATGCATCCTCAGTCCACCGACTGAATAGGAATATATGTCATAATTGTCATGATTTGTTTTCTTAAAGAAGGAAAAGAAACTTCATTCTCCATAATGCTGGGGGGAAACCTTACTTTTTCGACTCTAACAAATCCCAGAATGGCTAATAGTCAAACTGCTAGAGGATTCTGGAAGTTGTAGACAAAATCTAACTTTTTCAAGTTCAGATTCTTCATAGTTTGTCTTCTGTCCACATCCATTACTGTTGAGTTGTTGTGTGCCTTAGTCATTTCCCAATTATGGCCATCTTAAGGCAAACCTATCAAGAGGTTTTCCTGGCAGAGTTTGTTCAGAGGGGGTTTCCTTGACTTCCTCTGAGGTTGAGAAAGTGTGACTCATCCAAGGTCATTGAGTTTCCATGGTTGAGTGGGGATTCAAACCCTGGTCTCCTGAGTCATGGTCAAGCACTCAAACCACTATACCACACTGGATCACTACAGTTGAGTAGTTAGCCTTTAATGTCCTTGTCACAAAACATACAGGAGTAAGGTAGCAGTTAAATGTGAAGCACATTGGCAAGGGTTATGTAATAATCTCAGCCGATGATGAATTTATTACTGCTTGTATCTTAGCTTGCAACCATAACCACGCTCTAATAAAAGGGCTAATCTATGGAATGAGATAAAGTGTCTCCTTCCACAGAAGAGCAAAAAAGCATGCAATTCCCTTTTTGTGATGTAGGAGAGAATTTTGATTTTACAGAAGCCCTATTTAAGTACAGCTTTGACAAAGGGCTCTTGATACAGTTCTTTTAGAACAAAGTCTTGTTTACAGTTACAGCCTGAACTAATCATCCTCTGCTGATAGATTCAAGGAAGGAGAAGTGTTGAGATTGAAAGGGCTTTGAATATCAAAGGGAGAGATGGTTATCCTTGGGAAGAAACCTCCGGAGTGGTAACTCTAATTAGTCTGTTACAGGCAGAATATGCAACAGAGATACCTCCAGTGCCTTGAAGCCTAACATATTTTACAGCATAAGCTTGAACAGAATCCGCTTCATCAACTGCATTAAATGTTCCTCTCAGTAGGCAGTCTCTCTTTCTCTCTCTCTCTCTCATACACACAAACACACACACACACACACACACATACATAGAAGAATTGGTGTGGAGTTGTAAAAAGTTGGAATACCAAAAGGGCTCTGTGATAATAAAATTTAAATATAAAATTATTCAAAATACACAGAATAAACTATTTATTATGGTAGCAACTGGTGGCAACACAATTATCTTGGGACTCATTCACACTAGGGAAATAAACCAGTGTGGAATCAGTTTATGAAATTCACACTCGCCCTGACTGCAATTGGTGCAGTTTGCTGGGGGGGGGGGGGGGGGGGGGTAGTGAAAAGCCCAATCTCTTCCACCTCATTCCCACTTACAAATAAATCAATTTGCAATCCAAATCGATGGATCGGTTCAGCAATGGAGCGTGGTTCATACTGCATTTGTCCCAATTGCATTTTCTTGTAAAATAACCCAGTTGTCATTTACATTGATTAATGAATCAATTCAAAATGGACCCTCTTCAGCAGGTCACCGATCACTGATCACATCATAGGAAACTGATTCCGATCCGCATCTCATTCACACTTGCGCTGAATTGATTTATTGCAAAAGACACCAAAAAAATGAGCATAAAAAAGATATGTGTTAAATGGATCTAGTGCAGGGGCTCCCTCCCCAAACCACTTTAGCGATTCGGCTCAAGTGTGAACAAGAGTCATTTAAACCACTTCAAACCAGTTAGCAAACCTGTTTATAATGTAGTGGGAATGAGGCCTTAGCAGTTGTTATTAAAAGAA